TACTCTACTAAGCTCTCCAACATAAGGAAATATCCATGGCTTGTCCAAAGACTTCCAGGAGCAATTTACAGTAAAAAGAGATGAAGCAGGAACTCTCTGCACTCTGAGGTGCAGCTGTTCTTGAATCTTGCAGATTCGGTTTTCTTCTAGCAAAGCAACTGCACTCTTGAGCTCTCAGAAGTAGATGTTTTTCCCAGACCAGTCCTCTAGATTCCAACTTCCCCTGCCTAGAAGGCAAATGATCTGCTGATGCATTGCCCTAATCTGCAGACTTTTCCTGTCTACTTCCAGGCATGCAAAAAAATTACGCTGGTGAGGACCCAGGGATTTGGCACTGATGCCTCTACCCTGCATACAGAATAAATTCCCCAGCGATGTCCTCAGGAACAGGAGAACAAAGAATGAGGCATTTTTTTCTTGTGTCTTTTTCACTCATTTCTCACAGTATTTACGAATGGCTCAGATCAGGAAGTGGAGCAGAAGAGCCTCTGATAAAAGGCAATGAGGGAACTGGGGAGCAGTCAGGGTTATAGTGACAGAAGTGTTTGGTTATATTTTAAGTCAGACTTGAAATGTTTGTTCTGGTTAGTTCTTAGGAAGTAACACTGATAATTTTATCGGAAAGAAAATAGAAAGAAAAACTCACTTCAAGGGCTGAAGTGTTAACCTGTTGTTGAGGACTACTAGGTCTGATCTGCCAAAAATTTCAAATGGTGCTGAGATATGTCGTTGCAATTAATGAATCCCAGGCCTCCAAGTAACATTGTTCTAATTTATTTGAACTACAGCTGCTCAAAGAGTCCTCCTTACAGACAGTGTCTTCTCATCTTGAGCTTCCAAGTGTCTAGCATTCCTCGGGGCCTACCTCTGTCTTCTTTCGAGTCTACGTAACGCTTTCCATCCAGAAATGCATATAACAAGCATTCAGAATGGGGGTTCACAAAAAAGGTTTAAAAAGGCATGTGATTTGTTTTCAATAATTTTAATTTTCTCCAAGATTTCTAAAACCTTGCTTGGCTGCTAGTGGACTGTAAGTTAGCATAAAAAAACCAAAAATTAACAAACCCAGTCAGATCAGTATTTTCCTATCTTGCAGAATTCCCTTTACCAAAGACATTAATTTCTTCTGCAAATAATATCAAATATGTAGCCCACTATGCCTGGGGTAGGAAGAAGAAAATAATAGAAAAAGAAGTAAAGAACTGTAAAGATAATTTTTATAACAAAAAAATTCAGTGCTGATTTACTGCTCCTTGTTCAATAGAAAGCTCAGTTACTTAGCAGATGGGTATTTCCAAATTACTAGTCTCATGCACAAATTCAGAAAGTCTATCTAAAGAAATTAGGTTGACAACACAGTACCTGCTAGTTTAATTGTTCAATAGTATATGTACAGGTCACCTTAAGCATAAGGAAAATATCCCCACTCCCAAAAACAGAGCTTTGAGGTGCTTTTAATTAATTTTAAAAAGCAAATACGGATGGAGCAGAGGTGAGGGGGAAGGGGCAATAGAGACAAACTCAAACAAAAATACAGTCTTGATTGCAAAGGAAAGAAACTCTCTCATTTGTGGTGCTGTTCCTTCTTTTGTAGCAATAAGCTTTCAGTCTCCTTGCAGGCAAGTTCCTACTGAAGAGATTAATTTCAGTGCCAAAATTGCCATGAGAGGTGAAAACCACTAAAAGTAGTTAGGGAGTATATCAAAACACTATCATACACTATTTTTTGTCCTTTTAAGAGAGCCCTGGGGAAACAAAATGCCAGGTGTATGCTCTGCAGCCTCAGTGTGCTAGTATATGTGATTTTATGATTTCTCCCCTTTATAAACCGAGTAATAAGCAGCAACTGTGGATAGAGGACTGCTTATTCTTCTGATGGAATCTGTAACCCACTTCATATTATAGGGAAAAGGTTAATTCTGCTCAACAACATGCTGTGTCCTTCGGTATCTGATTTTACGTACCATTCCACAGATAGCTGGTTATAACAGTTCATTTATTTTTCTTCAAGTGGGGCTTTTGAAACTGAACATTTTGAAGCTTTCCCTGGAAGCAGATAGCATCAGACCTCTTGCGTGAGGGCAAATACAGAACCACAAAGAGAACATCCAGTTAATACAAAGGAGTCCACAACAATGAGACACTCTCTGAAGCATGAAGATTATGAGATACAGAGACAGACGTTAGAAAGAAAAATACTCATCAAGCTTAGTACACAACTACTCACGTCAGAATTTTTGTACTGTCCCCTGAAGGATTTAATATCAGTCAGGAATTCAAAGTAACCATACGCATCTCACTGTTTCACGATGCCAGAGAGAAAAGCTCGGGAACCATTCATCACTTGCCAGCAACCCATAAAAACTTGGGTAAATAGCAAAGAATGTAACAGCTCAGAGGCCCACTTCAGTTCAGGATTTCAGAACTAATCAGGGAGTTATATTCAAGATACCGTAACACTCAAGAGAACACATTCAGTGCCTCACAGTGAGCAGGGATCTCAAGGAAGAGGAAACCAGTGGCATGAACCAAGTCATCTATTCTTATGACAGCACAGCATAATCCTATGAAAGGAAAAGGATTCAGTATTCTATGTCACTCCCAGTACATTTCTGTTTGTTATGAAGTTTACTAACAATATCAAATGAATAGGGAATATAAATAATGCATTTATCCCTAAACTAAAAGAGCTTATCACTTACGTAACAGAAACAAAGTAAAATCAGCAAGAGTGGAAGGAAATTATTTTAAGTAAGTTCCCTTGATATAGATCCAGATATTCACATGAAGTTAAATTACAGCGTATCTATTGTTCCTAAATAATCACTGCGAAATAGAGGTCATTCTTTCACATTCCCTGGTGGCTTGTTGCTGAAGCCAGTGGAAAGGCAGTGGGGATGAATCTGACTTTTTATCCTATTTACATTACTTGTGAAACCCAAGAGAACTGTTTGGTTGAGTTTCCTTTTAATGCACCATTTACCAACAGCATCATTAAATTAACACCGTCACAAAATGACAGGTATCAAACATAAGGCTGCATATCATAAAATAGGTGTCTTGTGAATTACTTTTTCCTTTATTTGCTTTTTAAGGGGAAATATTTGGTGCACGACCTCTGGCTTTTCTAAGTTCAAGGCAAGGAGAAAAGATCATTAGCTGGTACGTAAAATTAACATCTGTTACCTCATATCCCCATATATACAACATTCACTGATAAAATAAAGCCTTTTTACACTTCAAGAGTTAAAAAGAAGTTGTAAATGGTATGATGAAGTGTATCCATAAATAGCCTCAACACTGACTAGCTGTTTCTCTCCAAGCCTTCTACAAAATTTCAGAAAGAACAAATTTTGTTTGTTTTTTTTCTAAACTTTTGCACGTTTCCTCTTTTTTATGCAGAAATAAGAAAAATAATTTTTAAAGACGTGCATGCCATATAGCAAGCTTTCCCATCAACTGAGAACTTTTTCCAAAATCATTACTACTCTGCAAATTGGGTGGCTTAAAGCGCTTCCAGCAGAGGAATCAAAAAGTGTGTGCCTCATGCTTCCTCAGAAATAAGCAAAACATTTTAAAAACAGAAAAAAAATTAAGTTTGCTGAATTTTCAGATATCACTACCGTGATAACTGTGAGTCCTTAACAAGCTCAGCATGAGCATTTAGTTTGAGGAACAAACACAATGGGGCTATTTCAAACTCGGTGGAATGCTGGACGCAAATAATTTCCTATCACGAGCAGCTTCTCCGCACGTGGTTACTACTTACCACTTTGATACAATTTGATGATTGCTTTCTACTAAATTTACAGCCATTTGTAAAATATTTTTTCTTGTGAGACTGAAATCTCACCCAAGTCTCTGACCCTGCATCGGGATCCAACAGCTCAGCTATGCAATTCATGCATTTCCACTGAAGCCATACTGAAACGGAACAAAAACTGGTCTTTTTTCACTTAATGAAATTAATATTTTTTGCCCTTTAACAGCCTACCTACAAGATACAAGGTGGTGAGTATGGAAAAGTCACTTCATTCTTCTGTCTACCCATGAAAAATTATTGAGCATGAAGCAAAGGATTTTGCATTTTTATAACTCTGCTACTGTACCATGTAAATGCCTGTTATTTTGCCACTTGAAAATATTTATGTAAGCAGAAATAGCGGCAGACCAATTCTACAGTTATTTACTCCTAGGAATAAGAGGACTTTACGCCTCTTCTGGGATTAACAAATTTCCTCCAATGTGAGTCAGAAAATACTTTTCCTCACCTCTCTAAGTACTCATAAGAGGAAGGAAAACCAACACAGTCACTGGATGCATTTGAGCTAGTTAAACTTTCACAATATTTAAAAACTCCCCAACTGAGGTTAATACTCACCTCAGGTCTTTATTCATGTTTGAATTTTAAGGAAAAAAAAAAAGTAGTTTCATTGTTTATGTGGAAATTTTTTTTAAATAGTTCTACAAGAATACACTTAAAACTTCTTTAACACAGCTACATCTGAACAGAAATATAAATAAAAGCATCCTGTAGATTCAGCAGTACGGAAACAAAGGGAGTAAGAATACCATAACAAAGGGCAAATTGACAACTCTGATCTTTAACATACTCTGCAAGAGTTTCTATCACTTATTTATCGTATTCTTGGATTAGTAGTATACTTCACGGGTATGCCTTGTGACTAGTAAGTCAAGATAGGGGAAAGGAAAGGTACAGCATCATTTGAAGGTTATTCTGAGGCGGGGAGCAGGGAGGGAGGAAATTGTGAAAAAAGTTTTCACATCCATGCAGAAGTATTTGGCTGAACACTCTATTAAACATTGCTGCAGTCCATGCTAGCACATTTCTGCCTCTGCAGAATATCAAATGATTCTTATGAAATATTTAAGATCTACACAAACAAAAAGAATAGCATTTCAGGAGGAATTGGAAAAAAAATGTACTATTTTATACAAAAAGCAGCTCAATGCAACATACTATTTGCTAACAAACTTACCAGTCGTCTCCTCTCCTCTTCAACAGCAATCAGGAGGCGAGCAAACTCTTTCAGTGACTGGGCTGAAAACAAAAAAAAGAAGATCATTATTCTGGTGAAAATTACATTTCCAGTCCAGATGAATCCATTATCTGGATTGAAGCTGTAGAGATAAGACACTGTTCTTAAATAGCACTTCACTGAAATCATAGTTGTCATTAAATAAGGCACACATTGAAGCAAGCAGCAGGTCAAGAGCAGGTATAAAGCAAAGGAAAATAAACTTAAGAGTCATGTGCATTTAAAAAATAATTTTTTAATGGAATATGGGAAACTGATTTTCCTGAAATGTGCAAAGATCAGTCTCAAAACAAAGAAGTCTACAACTAGCCACAAAATTTACTTTACCACATTGGGAGCAGAAAGAAACTGCAAAGGAAAATATCAAGTTTCTCCTGTTAAAGAACATCAACAAATATTTGCAAGAACTGTGAAAAACATCCAGGTAAAAACTTGTAAGTCAACACTGTAGAAGAAATCTGTTACTTATTCCAACCATTTAGGTTTAGCAGCTCTTTGTCTGTTATGTTTTACAAGGACAAACTCTCAGGTGACAATAAGAGATGACTGATTTATGAGTGAGCTTTGAATTCTGTTACAACTGTGAGAGAGTCTTTGGTCACAACTGCCTTCCAATATAATTCAAAGAACTATAGCGGACATCAGCAGGAACACAATAAAAGTATTAACTCATAAAAGAGGGCAAGAAAGGGAAAAACACTCCAAAAACTCTTAAGGCTTCATTCTTATATAATCTATCCTTCCATTTATGTTACTTTCTCAAGGTCATATGGGTTATTCAGATTTCAGCACCACGGTTCGACAGACAAAAATGTCAGAGAAGAATCATGTGAAGAGAAGTAGCTTTTTTTGCTTTCTCCTGATGCATCTAGCAGTAACTGCTGCCAACGACAGGATGCTAAATTTCATGCTTTAAAGCTCCGATCTTAGAATGCAGATTCATAAATCCTACAGCTTGTAACAATGAACTTGAGGCAGACTAAATCGTCTTTTAAAGAGGAAAAAACACAAGGAAATAAAACTTTTAGAATTTCTCAAAAGAACAGGGTTGAAAAAGTCTTCCCAGTTAACCAACACACATTGCTGAGGGTATGCCAACAAAACCCTTGTCCCCTTTGCTATTTTTCCATTTTCTTAAGTGTTTTTACAAAATGTGTCTCCAATAATCCTGCTTCAGCTCCTTTCAACTTTCCTAAATTAGCTTATTTTCTGGAGCTATGTCCCAGTACCTTCTAAGAGGGAACGAGCATCTAGCTTGCCTTAACTGCCTTGTCTGCACTCACAAATTGCTACTTAGCTTTTGGACCATACTCAAATAATTTGTATCCCTTTTTCCATCCAGACCTTTTTGCAACTGTAATGCTACACCTGCACATCATGACCTCTAAGCTGTTCTTGCTGACTAATTCTTATTCCCCCCCCTCTTATTACTCATGAGCTCTTTGTTTAATGCAAACACATCTGGTAAATTAAGTGTCCATCCAGTTGGGTCGAGCCTTTTCCTTTAATATTTTTTCCCTGAGAACACAAACACTAGAAAATTTTCCCACCTCTGAAGTAAAAGAAATTCTAGTCCTCCTGCACAAACTTCTTGATTCAGGCTTCTGAGCTGAGCCTTTCAGCTCCTGACTGTCAGTTGTTTACCAGCTCAGCCTGTATCAGAATTACATCTTGATATCAAGATCTCAGTTTGCTATCCACTGAATTAACTCAATCTCTTAAAGTCAGATCAAATCCCACCCGTAAAAAACAAGTAAAGAAACAGATGAACTGATTAAGTTACTTTATTAAAAAAAAATAAATCTGTTACATTCAAGAATATCTACGTACCCACTAAGAAACCCCAAAAACTAAATAAAAAACGAGTCAAAAACACATGGCCAAACTATTTCTTATTTTCACACCAATATCCTCAAAATTTAAGAAGAAACTATCCTTGCACATAGAAAACAGGACAAAGCCAGTTCATCACTTGCACATGTGGCAGAGTAATTCATTATCCACCATTTAAAAAAAATAATCTTTAAATGAACTAGATAAACATATTATTTGTATTTTATTATCTATTCAGGGAATTCAGGTGCACTTCAGAAAAACAGTTGACTTCTATGAAAAGCCAGCAAGAGAAATTGTTTCCGGATTAGTTCAGTGAAATAATTGGTCATTTCTAACCACAAGATGATGCATGCGTTCCTGCAGTCAAATGTTAAAACTCCTTTCCCTCCCATTTTTTCACTGTTTTACAGTTGAATTACTCACAAAGACAGAACTATTTCAAAAAGAAATTATCATATCAAGCCCTACATCTTTGTGAGGTCAGATCCAGAATCTACTGAAATTTTACTAAAGGTTTCCCTACCCACATCAAGCCTTACAGTACTCTGAAGTTTCTGATCACATCATGAAAATCACTCTTAACAGAACAGAGACTCATGTGATTTTTTTTCTTCATGATCTGCAAAGAGAAAGTTAACACTTTGCACCTTTCAGCAGCCAAGCACAAATAATGCCAGTACCCAGCAGCAAAGCATGGGCAGGGCTTTAGCTAAATTAAATAGAATGGGTAGAGACAGGTAGGTAAAAGCACTACAGTTCCGAAGAAAAAAAATAAATCCTCTCTAGTCAGGCAATATTCAGCAGTTTAAGAGCAAAAAAGATAGTAAAGGAAGAATAGCAGGATGGTTGACTGGAAACTATGAGGAAGGAAAAGAACACAACCCAGTAAAAGAAGCTTTGCATTCAGTTTCCTAATTTCAACACAGAACCAGAGGGCTTTTTCATTTTGAAATCGAAAATTTTGCTTAGGATATAAACAAAACCAGGTCAGACAGAGAAAAACTAAAAAAAGTGTGCAAATCAAGATTTTCCTTATATTAGTGTTTAGCACTAACATAAAGGCACTAATGTCACCTATACAGCACCTCAGCTAAAGACTGAGAAGCTGTCTCCATCTTCTCCTCCCTGTAGCCTCACCTTTGGGGGGATTATAAAGGCCAAAGTTTCATTACAGACACAGAGCCTTTGCCCTTTGGCAGCACTCAGACAAACCACTCCCTGATCCTAGAGACACCTTCGCTGCAGAGACACCTTTGCCTCGACTGACTACACGCCCACTGGTCACTGCCCAGCATCCACATCCATCTTTTTTTTGTGGGTCAAGGCCCACCAAGCCAGGGAGCATCCTTCCCCAGCTCAGGAGATGCATGGGGAGAACCAGCCCCTGGTGTGATTCAGACCATAAAGAAGGACGCACACACGGCATGCAGACACAGCTCAGCAACAGGGACATCTGTGACCTCACTGGTTCTTCTGCCCTTGCAAAGACATCACAGAATGCCCGAACAGGCCTTACCACCAGTAGCTCTCCTACAACACAAATGAGCACTGCAGCATTTCTTCCCATACAACCCCCACTCGGTCTGACCTCATTGAAAGCCGGAGCCAGTCTCGAGAACATCCCTGTTCCTCTGCTCCTGTTTCCCCCGCGCACGCTGTTCCCTTCCGCCCGCCCCCGGCCCCGCTCCGGCTGCACAGAGGTGATGGCTCTGCCTCACCCAGGGCCTGGGCCCTTTAGGAGCAATGGTTTTAAACTAAAAGAGGGTAGATTTAGACTGGATATAAGGAAGACTTTTTTTACAATGAGGGTGGTGAAACCCTGGCCCAGGTTGCCCAGAGAGGTGGTGGAGGCTCCATCCCTGGACACATTCAAGGTGAGGCTGGATGGGGCTCTGAGCAACCTGATCGAGATAAAGATGTCCCTGCTCGCTGCACGGGGTTGGACTGGCTGACCTTTAACAGCCCCTTCCAGCCCAACACATTCTGTGATTCTTTTTCAATCAGAATACACATAGAAGAATTAAAATGAACTTTGTAAACATAAATAGCGGTGGGGGGAGAAAGAGTCAACTATCTGACAAAGGTCACGGGAATATGCTGATAAGAAATAAATTCTGAAAACATATCAATAACATGAAGTATAATATATAGCTTAACTTAAATATGAAGATATTTTTAATTATTTTCAAAAAGCATTATTAGTGGGTCACTGTAAGTAAAATGAAGTGTTGCTTTAATACTTTATCCTAAGTCATTAGGGGATACTAGCTTACAAAATCCAAATAGTTTTACAGTCTGCTTTTTATTTAAGGGCTATTCAAAGGACTCATAAGATATGCTTTGCATCATGATGGAGATGATGCCTGTGAAAAGCAACGGTCAGCAAGCAAAATCAACCGTATATGTACCTGGCTGTACATGTGTGGTCTCATCATCACAATTTAAACGGGTGATCAGCTGTTTTCTCTGCAGTGTTCCCAATCCAGCAATAATTGGCTACAAAACTTCCCTTGTTCAGGAGAAATAGCTCACATTACCTTATTTAAAAAACAACACACCCTCTTTATTTTTAAGTGAAAAGTGTTTTCACTAATTTGCTTCATAAGGAAGCAAGCTAACATTACCAACATTACCAACAGCTTAAACCTTAACAGTGTAGATCAACAATGCCTTTTCTTCCCAAAAGATGCACGTGTTTCATTTGGGTTTTATCCCTATCGGGACAGATTCACAAGCAACTACATTGCATAATCAAAAGAGAACTGAAGCTTAGTGACACGAACGAGGGAGAAATGAAATAGGCCAAAAAATCATTTATATGAATTTATAGAATGAATTATTAAAAATATGCCTCATTTATGCTCTAGAATTCTGGTCTACTCCATCAAAATCCACACAGTGGTTCACAGGTAAAAAAACACACGTACTTAAACTTTATGAAGTCTCTGTTATACACTTGTGTAGAGAATGTTTCACCTTAGAAGCGCATGCCTGCACACATTATTGAAGCTACTTATCAATAATTAGCTTAATAGCACTGCACTGCACTACTAAATATTACCTACAATAGAAGTTATGCCATCTACAGTTAATGAGAAAAGGAAAGCAACATGTATGAAAACTAGAAGTAGTTTTATATGACCAATACTGAATTCAAAGACATAAA